GAGTATTCGTTCTTTTTCAGATGCGACCTAGCCACAATTTATAGCTCAACCAAGTGACTTATCATCACGTGGTCATTTATAGCAATAGCCAAATGTTCTCAACGCATGTTGACTCGAAATGTGAAGGGAAAACCGGAGGACTCGGAGAAAAATCCATGCGACCACGGGGAGACACACAAACTCCCAAGTATACAGCAGGCGTCAGGGTCTCGGGATCGAATCCATGACCTCCTGCATAGCAGGCAAGTAAGATCACATCTCTGAACATCTGAATCCAGCGCCATGTTCAGCGGTGAGAGGATCAGCTCATCAAGTCGAGTAATGTCAATAAACAATCGGAGAGCTGTCTCTCACCTTGTCTTCACGGCCCAACCAAAACACGACACTCTCTACAGAGTCGGTGCTTCATACAGTACACATTGTAATTGGCTACTCTGCCTTATACGCTTGCAAATGTACAGCCTCTTGTAAATCCACTGCTGGATGAGGGCCTCCCCATGCTGCTGCTTTGACTTCGTGTAGACATGGGTGCGTAGAAGTACCGTATGACGATGGATTTATTTTTTTGCACTGCTTTCTGCTCAATGGCAGAAGTCAATAACAGCCCATTGTACGTGTGCTGGTCGGAGCACAGGCTACTCCATTCTGGGCGATTTGGCCATCGAGTTGAAGGCACAGTCCTGCAATTGCTCAGTCGGGCCACTGCCAGTAGATGGGCATTCCAACTGGGGCAGTGGTTCGTAACCTTTACTGTAGTCTTGCACCCCTTTGGATTTACAATCGTTAAAACAATCTTATAATGTTAATAAATACATAGGTTTTGATGAAACAAGGTAGTTGTATTTCGATTTAAAGCTTTCGTGACTGCAAGGATTCATCTTCTTTGGTTCTTTCGGTAAAGTCACGTAGAATGAGAATAAAATAATAAATTAATAAAATAAAATAACACAGTAATATTCTCACGACGTTTCGAGACTGTCTGGAGGACAGCGCAGTCTCGTCCCCTTCACCTGATGAAGGCCGCTTGTGTTGTGGCCGAAACGTCGTGAGAATATTACTGTGTTATTTTATTTTATCAATTTATTATTTTATTCTCATTCTACGTGACTTTACCGAAAGAACCAACGAAGAAGGTAGTTGTACTTAAGTGTCCGTGCTTAATTAATGTTTTGATGATTTACCTTCTGAAAAAAATCTGCCCATGTCTCGCACCCCCATAAAGGGCATCTCGCACCGCCAGGGGGTGCGTGCACCCCAGGTTAAGAATCACTGAACTGGGGGGATTCTTTGGAATCCTCTTCCACGCTGACAACGTCTCGGAAGTCGAGGCTGTTACCCACACTTTACCCCTCCACACGCGGCCTGCCGACGGTCATCGTATCGTGTGGATGGTCCTGCAACAACAATAAAAAAAACCCCACCGTCGTGCATGTGCTCGTGGAATGATTGCGACGGGGTTTCCGCGTTCGCGGGGAGCACGCAGCTGTAATATTAACGGCGCTCTTCATTTTTATTGAAGTGCAACTCATTTAATAATGGAATAAAATTACTTCACGTGTGCAGGGGTAAGGGGGTGGGGTGTCGGGGTTGCCCCCCCCCAGCCCGATAACCCCCCACCCACCCCTCCAATTTGCACCGTACAAGACAAACAATATATTTTGGGAGCAAAATCCACTCACTGAATCATAATAATCATCCTTTGGAAAGCTAATCGCACTCATTGCTGTGAGAAATCAGACAGCCGGCCAGCATGAATCTGTATCAATGATGCTCATTAATTCGAAATATGAGTGATTTATTGAGGTATTGGTACTCGTCTGTGTACAGTCCCGCTGAGTCAGTGGTGGATATTCTACATTCCTATGGCGATGGCGAGACTGTCCATAGGACAATCACTGTTGACTTGCGATCAAATGGTATACATAATTGTATTGGCCCCGGAGGGATGATGGGTCGAATCAACCCTCACTAACCAGGATGTGAACTTTGTAAACGTGACCCAGGAAAGACTCCCCGAGTCTCAAGACTCTTTCTTATGGAGCGTCCTGCTAAGTGTCACAGCAGGGACGGGCGAACATTGCGAGGTGGTTTATTCCAATGTTAGTCATTTGTGAATATACATTTTAGTTGTTGTAGTCATTTTCAAATGTGACACATTGGAACCGTGATGCCGGCACACAATAAAATAGCTTCTAGATTTGAAGCTGTCAACCCATACGGTTTACCCCGTATTCTTGTACAGGGAAATTTAGTTTTCAGGTCCATACGGCGTACAGCCGTTTCAATACGGGCAAAAAAATTGGTCTATTTATCTGTGTTTCTCTTTTGTGATGGCACTTTATAGGATGCACGTTGAGATTCATAAGGACACGGGTTGACCAATAAGGTCTGAATTGCTCTATAATAAGGTAAGCACTGACAAAGGGTTGAGAGGTATGCAATGAGTACATGTGTAGTGTCAATGCGTCTCTTCTTCTCGTTCTCCTGCTCGATGCTCGAGGCTTGTGTGTGCGTGCGGGTGGCGTGCGTCGCACACACACTCAGTCGGAGACGAGGTGGTCGCAGGAGGCACCGTCCTCCCCTTTGATTGTTGTTGAGTTCACGCCACCACTCTGGCCCCCTCTCTCTCACGACCACGCTGCCGCACGACCCGTCCCAGACACGACCCTGTCCGCTTTGCACCGACGGCATCGACCGGGACAGCCAACTACTGTCCGGCCGCGCAGTGATCGGACAAAGGCGGCAGCGACGACGAGACGAGTCCACTCCCAGAACCGGCAGCCCGGAGCTCTCGTTCTCCGCTGATTTTATTCCCCTCGGCGCGGCTTGGCTCCGCCCTAGCCGCGCCTCCCTTCTCGAACCCTCCAGAGGGTTCCAGGGGCTTCCCCACGAGGTCTATCGTGACCCTTGCCTCAGTTCCTCCACCCTGCTGCGGCACACCCACGTGTATGCTTAGCGGCGTGTACGCTAAGTGCCCACTTGCAATTGCAGCCGCTGTACAACAGTCAGTGCTATGTCACTACACATGTACACAATCTTGATTTGAAGCTTTCGTGACTGCAGGAATCCATACTTCATACTCAGTGCTGCCGCTGTGGGCCACTTAACACCAGTGACCCGGGTGCTGCTGCGGGGTCCACTTTCTGCCCCGCCTCCACTCCCCCTCCTCTCCCCCCTTCTGCCGAGGCCTATATAACCTTGTGCCACGGCAGATCTCTCGCATACTTCAGCAGTTTTTTTTCTTGCTGTGGTTGTCCCACCTGATGACGATTGCTTGTGTTGCGATCGAAACGTCGTGATCTATTATTTTTTTACCTACGTGACTTTACCGAAAGAACCAAAGATTATGTACACAATCTTTAACGTCCTTTGTAAAGCTGACGGGCACGTAATTTTCTCCGACAGCCGCACAGGTTAATATTATTATAATATTTTGTATTACTTTATTATTTCCCTTCTACGTGACTTTACCGAAAGAACCAATAATATGAATCCCTGCAGTCACGACAGCTTTAAATCGAAATTTCACCAACGGCAGTTAATTCTAATCAATCGGCGACGAGAACAGCGCATACATTATGTTAATATAAACCTGGACCCCCTCTTTAAAAAACTGGGATTAAATTATGTTAATCACCTTCTATGACATTGACAAGTCTTAGCCAATAGAATGAGCGCAACGTTCCGAGGATAAGAAAATCAAAATAATTACAACCATGACTTGACCAATCACGAGCGAGGCCGTTTAAAGTGAGCGTTCAATAAAGACAAATCCACTGATAGATTCGAGCAAACGTAGCAATCCAGCAGCCAGCATCGTGTCAACACGAGGTGACTTCATCGCTCCGTCTCCACCGGGCGAATGTACCCCTCTCTCTGACGCGTTCCCAACGTTCCAATGCTTTGACTGTCGCCCCCGAAGGTTTGGTCGAACGTCGTTTAATCAGCAATGCGTGTGGCGAGGACTCCATCCAGGAGTGGATCGACGATGTATGGCTGCAATGCGAGGCAGAGAGCGGAACACGTGGAGTCGAGAGCGTACGCCGGTGTAGGGGAAAAGTAGGTGTGCATTACAGGTCATACCAAGTACGAAAGTAACTTTTAGAGTGGGCTGCTTGTAGTATTCACCAGCAGGCGCGTCGCTTTGTTAGGTCCGAGTTTTAGAATGAAACGCCAGGTTGAAGAGATACGACTTTAGAAGCCGATGGACCAAGCAAAGTGACGACTCGGTAAATGTGCCAACGTTGGGGCAACGTTGGCACGTGGTCGGACTGACGTTGGCCCCGATGTTCAATGCACACACTGCGGAAAGTGTCAGCCAAGGGGTTGGAACGTTTCTGATCGAACGTCCATAGAGGAAGATGGAGCCATGAAGTGAGGTGGATGTGCGGGGTGCTGGGTGGGTAAAAACATCGGGGGAGGCCTTCATCCAGCAGTTGATAGACCACGGCCGGTGATCAATGAGTCAAAGCTGTCCTGCTCCTTCCACGGTCTATCACGGTAATAAATTATGTTAATTATTAACCAATAAGAGGTACGAGGCTAGGAGCTGCACCCCATTGGTTAATCCTTCCGTCCGGGTCACGCCTTCCCGGGTGTACATTATGTTAATAGTGAGCACTGGCCAATGGAAGAGCAAGAAGGATGGGGGCGGGGACAGAGCGGGTCGGAAATGGACAGAGTGGGGAGGGGGTACTGGGTGGAGGAGCGGGGGAAGTGTGGGGGATTGGGGGGGGGACTATCGGCTGTTTGGGTGGATGGGGGAGGGGTGATGGGTTGGAGGGGCGGGGTGGATGGGGGAGGGGTGATGGGTTGTAGGGGCGGGGTGGGTGGGGGAGGGGTGATGGGTTGTAGGGGCGGGGTGGATGTGGGGAGGGGCTCTGGGTTGTAGGGGCGGGGTGGGGGTGGGGGAGGGGCTCTGGGTTGTAGGGGCGGGGTGGTGGTGGGGGAGGGGCTCTGGGTTGTAGGGGCGGGGTGGGGGTGCTGGTGGTGGGGGAGGGGCAGAGCGAGCGCGCGCGCCGCCGTTGTTCGCGTCGCTTCGAGCGCGCGCGCGCAGTCTCCCTCGCGCTGCTACGCGTGACGGGAGATTTAATAAACAAACTGCAGCGCCGTTCAAACACTCAAAACGTTACAGTCACAGTGCAAAACGTTTAAAGGCAAACCGCTCGGTTAATAACAGCATCGGGAGCGACGACAATCCCCTCAGTTTTGGAAGCGTTTTTTTTTAAAAGCGCGCAGCGAAACTTGTGAGACAGGTAAGAAGGAACTCCGTCCCGTCGCCTCTCTTGTCTCTGTTCAGTTTAAATAACAAAGTGCGCTCTGAAGAAGGGCCATTGCTCGAAACGTCGGTTAATACTCGTGTGTTTCCTTTAAGGTTAGCGTCACTGACCGACGTTAGTGTTGTTTGTGCTTATGCGTCTACACAAATAAAGTGCGTGTCTATGTGCGCGTTGCGGTAACTTCTCGATGCGACTTCTAATCGCTTCCGTTCGTATTATTTACATTTTTTTGTTGTACAAAACGGTGTACACGATGAACATGCCGATAGCTTGTGTGTCTTCTCTGCGTCTTGTGCTGTCGATGTAAGCTATTTAAATGCGTCGATGGAAGTGTACAGTCGTGGTGAAGTATAGCCAGATAGCCCTCACGACCCACGGCGGTGTGCAGGCGGGGGTCCTCATCATCCAGCAGTGGAAAACGCGCACGGGCACAGAGTTGTGTTCGTCCTCTGTGTGTGTCGTACCCCCACAGCTTCCCGGGGTAATGGAAAGCCACAGCTGTTACCCACCCACCCTTTGATGTGTTTTAGAATGTTATCTTTTACACATTCTAACAAAACTGTGTGGAATACGGACACATTACGGGACTTATTACATCGATTACTAACAACAAGATTGTAATGCGGCGTTGCCAGTTGTGTAACGCAAGCACGCGCAAGAAATACTCAACACTCTTGCTTTGGTGTTGACGGCGAAACGGGGGCCCGTTGCCCGAAACGTCGCCGGTTATTTTTGTCCCCGTGTTTAGGGTCACGCTGTTATTGACGAATGCGGTGAGATTTTTTCACGATTGAGCACGATCTAGTTTCACGGTTTTTCAGCGTTTTGGTGCAGCTATGCTCTCTTAATGTTTACATTGACACCAAGCCTTGCCCTCACCACCACCACCACGTGTGTTGTTGCTGTGAATGGACAAAACAAATTAAACGATGAGATCGCTCAATATTAAAACTGCATTTCTACACCGACTATAATTATATGATCGCACATTGCTTGAAAGTGCTGCACTGCAACTTCAAAGATGTAAGGGGATGTGCACAGTAAAGATTAAAGTCCAGATAGTGACTGCCTTTCATGTTTCTGTGTTCGTAATACTGTACATTCACATATACTGCACTCTAGTTTGTGTAATGTATAAACTATGCTTATTTCATTTAATGGATTTTCCTGTTTGATACAAGAAAAATAACAAAGATCTTGTACATAGTGTCTCGTTAACAATGAGGGGTAAGTGACCTGACGAGATTAAAAAAAGGTTCTTGTGTGTGGTAGGAGACGGGGTGAATCTTAAGATTTCATCTTGCGTATAGATAACGAACATACCATTTTAACTCGCTTTTATCATTAATCATACCTAGTACAGTATGTGTATAACCCAGCAGATAGCATTGTGTACTCACTTTGCACTGGTTAGACACTACATAGGGAGATTGACCATACTTCACCACACTGGGTCATTGCCGATTGTTTTGGAGAGGTCGCCACCGCTTGATGTTATCCCATGTATGGAACCGAACTCGTGGCGCGGTGCGCTAACCACTGCGCCACCGCTCCCCCATCCGTTATATACGCGCATTGTAAAGGTTGGACCGGAAATGTCTTATTAATACATTAAATCATATCCACGGGCTCGGGAGGTATAGATATAAGTAACAGCACTATTCTCCCACTGCCGCACCGAAATGAAACGTTTGTAAACACGTCACCTAGAGACCTTCTCGCGCTGACGAGGGTTGTCAAAGAGAACCGGCTTGTTTAGGCAGTATATAAATACTGTATGCGTGCCATAACACCTCACGTTCGTTCTCGGAGTGTCGCCTCGAATCATCAGTACGTGGAGCAGGTAAAGAGAATAAAGAGCAGACGGCATTGATGTTGGTCCGTCTGGGCTGCTGCTTATTATTTCTCCCCTCCTAACAACAACATCACGTGGATGGCGCAGCTCCTCCGCCTGATGGCGATGCGAACGTGTAACCCGTTGCTGCCGAAACAGCACGGAGCGCTCAGTCGAGGAGGCAGGAATATTCGGGGCATTTGTGTTTTTTGTTTTGTTTTAACCTTGAAAGGCGAGGCTACAACGCTCTTCCCCACTCTCTTCCCGAGAGAGAGAGATGGGCGTTTTGTGTTTAAAAAAAATGATATGCAAGAGACGCCCTCTCCCGTAAGAGATCACACACGGGAGGAATTCACATTTGCAGTCGTATTACAAAACCCCCTTAGCGCACTCTTTACTCCACCAGTTTCACAATAACGTTATGATTGGCGGTGCAGCTGCAATAAATACATACTACGGATTTCCTTTACAACGCGCATTGACATCTGTCCGGTTCCAATTTAAAGCGTGCCGTTTCAACGTACGTTATGCATTAACCATTGGATTCAATAGAGGCTCTATTGACTGGTCTTGTTTGGGACTAACACGGTAATTCAACGAGGTGGGGGGTGGTGTTGACTAAGGGGTTTTTTGGGGTGTTTTTACTTGTTTTGGTAGTTTTAAATCTGGAGTTGAGCCCCATGTGGATGGAGCCTTCGCACCCCCTTGTAACGTAGTGACGCTCTATATGTATATAAAGCTTTGCATCAGTCGTTTCATTTCGTGTTTGTTTAGCATCGCCCCCCCCCCTCGTACTTTCTCAAGAGAACTGTACCTGCAAGGCTTCCCAAGCGGCTCGGCTTCTGCTGATAATAGCCCATGGTTAGGTTTCAGGAACTAGAGGCGAGCGAAAATACGGAATGTCCTTTATGCTTTTTTCTCTCTCATTCAATCCTTTATTTGCCCAAGCGAGAGCCCGCAGAGACTACATATTCCTTGCGATCCATACTTGGGACAAAAACACAGGCGAATGTAAATTTGCCAAGAAAGTAAATACAATACCAAAATGTCTGCTTATATTACCAAGTAAACATGCTATTTTATATAAGCTCGCTTTCGGTGCATAGCACAGTGGATTATCTCAAGGACTGATTGAGACGGCAGAATCATGCTGGCTCAATCACCCCTCGTGGCACATTACACGCGCAAACAATGTGTTGATTCATTGGTTAAATGGATTATTACACTCGTTGGTACATGCATCAAATCGTGTGAAATTCAATTATTTACGATACGCAAGTTACATGGTAATGTCACGTTTATGCTAATGCGGTAAACACAGCTGGACAAATGATACGGGAAAAAACGAGAGACGTTACAGTTATAAGACGGGAAAAAGAGACGCTAAAACATTGATTCTTGAAATTAAATTGTGGCTCAGAAACGTGACGATTAATGCAAATCCTGTGGGGGGGGGGGGGGTGAGGGGTGAATCGATACATGCTGAGAACACATCGTGATGGTGAAGACAGCGATGACGATGGTAACAGCGATAATAATGGCAGTGAATATGATGATGGTGACATAATTATACCAATTATTTGTTTAGAAAAGCCTCGCTGAGTCTCAATAATATTTCAGTAGGTTTCGGTTTGATGTTGATGATAATGATGGCATTGATGATGATGGTGGTAACGATTATTATGGAAATAAGAGTGATGGTAATGGAAAAGAGGTAGCCTCACGTGAAGGGGCATAGCAGTTACGACTAGATATTTACACGTGTGCTTTTGTCCGTGTGGATGCATGTGCTTGTGTGTCTCCAGCTGTTCTTGTCCCCCCCCCCCCCCCTTCTTAATTAAAGGGATGTCAAAAACGTGAGAAGCGTCCGAGATTACGCGGCAAGCCACTAAGTCCCCGGTAAGCTCAAGTCATAGGTTACCGCTATGCTGTTCCGTCATGCACGTTTGTGTGTGGGTTTTCTTTTGACAGCATCTATTACTGTAAATATTACAATGTGTGCATGCATGTATATGGATACACACACTGTGGTGTACAATATGGTGTAAAGAAATATATTTAATGTGACAATGAGCTTACTAAAATAAAACAACCCCCGCCCCCCATCCTCCCCAACGTTAAATTTGAATGCACCCAGTAATACAAATTGTGTGTGCATGTGTGCCGTGCGTCATTCCGCACAGTAATTAAATGTGGCTTGGACTACAACGGTACACTGGGCACTAAAACAGGGAGCAAAGTACTTTTGTAACCAAAAACCACGGCATTTCAGAAGGCACGGATCACCTGTGGCTGTTCATCACAACTCAGTTGTCATCGTAGTCACTAATACATTAAATATTATATATTCTGTGCACTATAGCCAGTACACCGTTCCTGCATAGGCACTTAAATGTTGCAGCATTTAACATTCTGCACGGAAATTGTGATTGCCACTGACCCACCGAGGTAATAGACAATTTTAACAAAATATCCCAAACACGGGTGTATTGAAAATGAATAATGCAGCCAAGCGTGGCCTTGCTGGATAAATAAAGGGCATTGTATTTTTTTATTATTCGTGGGGAAACACATGGGCAGGCAGCCTTTAACAACAGCAAAATGTCATAACAGAAAAACACACTTGATTAATAACTATTGGCCAGCAATGGAAACTCCAAAAAAATGGAATTAAGAGAATGTAACATATGCAGTCAACATAGTATTTGGTGAGTTAACTACCGAGCCACCTTATGATTAACGCATAAAAATTCCCTTCTCCATGGGCATCTGTTTACTTCTGCAGGATGGTATAGAACGTTTATTGTAAAGGAGGATGTCAAATCCTGTAATACAGGGGCTTTATTTCTAGGTAGCTGGTAGACAGGATGGTTAGCGCCTGACTTGTAGCCACATCGAGAGCGCGAGTTATACGCAATGTGGTGAACCGTTTTCAGAAATATTTTCCATGTTGCCAATGCAGACTGACCTGGTTGGCAAATAAGCCCAACTGTGATGTCATTATGAGCGCAGGTAAACGAAGTATTGTCCGGCACCTTCTTGCACAAAACGGCACATTGGAAAATGATATGCAGATAGCTTTCTCAAACCTAAGCAAAATACTTTTACAAATGGCAGGCTTAGGTTTTGAATTGCAATCAGCTTTTATGAAGTTAAATCAAAGACTGCAAATCAGTCAGTTCACAGAAGTACATGTCAATGACTGCTGCCCTTCAAGAAGAGTGTAGAATTTTAACATTGTCTGACGTTTTCTGGAGCGAATCTTCTCATAAATGTACAAGGTATTGTCTTAAAAAACGAATTACACAGTAATACAATGCTGATTTAACATTTTTTTGCGTTTAGCTGTATTAAACGTGTTTAGATTATTGATTGATGTTATTTTATTCCACAATGTCTACACAGGTCCTTTTTTCAACCATAAACTGAACCATTCATTACTTTTTACAAGAAAACGCTGCCAGTTTGACCTTCTGGTGGTCCGTGTCGCTGCTAAATAATACATCAGTTGAAGTGTCGCCGCTTAATTTTTTATTTGCGTCAAAAGCCGCCAGTGCCTCCTCGCTCGGTGTGATGCAGGGTTCCGCTGAAGCTCAGAGATAGCGGACCTTTCCTCCCAAATTCCAACAGACGGTGGATAGAAGAGAATAGATAGATGGATAGTTACATGTTATGGCCACAATGAAACTCCCCACTTACGTGACGTTATTAATCGATTGAGCTTCCGAGGTGGTAGGGGTGGTGGGCGGTGCATTTTTTGTTTAAATTAGATTAGCAGAGCTATCTGGTTGTGCACTAGAACGTGTACATTTAGGTGTGCATACACATTGGGTGGGGTGGGGGGTCGGTATGGTTGTTATTGTAAAACTAACTTTTTTTTTACCCTATACTGTTTGGTTCTTTCGGTAAAGTCACGTACGTATAAAATAAAATAAATCACGACGTTTCGGACGCAATACAAGCGTCCTTTTGCAAAAACCCTTGGCATGTGCTGTCGAAGTATTAGGTATGCGATAATTCAGTGAAACTGAATAGTATGTTCATGATATGTGCATTGAATCTTGCACGCAAGAATCAATCATTTACAGTTCATGCCAATTATATGTAGTTATGTGCTCACGTTACTTTCATTCTAATGGAATAAACATATAAGACGGACACTGCATATTCACCAAAAGCTGTTTTTTTAATCAAATTGTGTTTTCAACTCATTTGACAATTCGTGGGATTGTGGTGGGTGGAGGTGAATCGTTACATGCATAAGAAACACCACGCGGAGTTTATTTGGAAATACATGCTGCGTAGGCACAACAGCTTGTTGTTTTACCCTGAAGGCTTATCATTTCAGGACAGTGATATGAAATGCTGTTAAGTAGATCCATTGAAAGATGAAATAGTAAGTGCACATGTGGTAGATGGAGCTAGGTAGTTCAAAGGAGCAGCCTCCTACCGAACTGAATGACCTGTGATAACATTTTGTAATGTGGTATTGTTCAATAATGATAAATGGAAATGTTCTGCGCACTACCATTGTTTTAGAATTCAGTGCGAGAAGTTGCAAAGTTAAAGTGCATTGGTAAATCAATACACAATGAGTGCAGGAGTTGATTTGTTTTAATCCCATTAGTTATGAGCAGTGGTGTTAAGATTCACACTGTAACACTTTGCACAAGAATTGAGTGGCTGGTAAAATGCCATAAAAAAACCCTTCATACAAACTATATGGTAAATGGATTTCCTTTTGTTTACCCAGGTGAATTCAAGCGGATGCATTATAACTTGCAAAGGAAATGACACATACTGAATATATAGTCAGAGTAATACTTAATATAGTTTTATTCGTTATCGGCTGGGTTTTTAAGGTAGATTTATTTTAATCATCAGATATGATCTATCCACTGCTGGTTGAAGGTCTCCCCATGTCAGTATCTTTCCTGATGGTCCTTGCGATTCCACAGTCCATCTGACTTCTGCACATTTACGTTTTATCATTGCTTCATCTCCACAGTGCTCATCCTCTCCAGGTGCGTTTTGTCCCTTGGCTCCCGTTCTTTCACCAGCTTCGTCCATTGGTCATCCCTTTTCGCACGTGCCCTTCTCACGTTCGCTTATTTTCCTTTACAGTCAATGCACTGTCGATAGTCATTGTATTTCTTAGGCACTGTAATTGCTAACATCCATCGCTCCAAAACGTTTAGTCCATGTTCCATTTTATTTGTCAGTGTTCCATGTTTCTGATCCACATGTCATTATGCACCAATTGAAAACTTTAGTCTTTAAGTGCATTAGAATGTTGCGTTTCATTATCAAATTCAGTTTTCCAAAATGCTCTCCATCCTGCTCTCGTGCGCTTCTTTTATCTTATAATTTGACGAGCGGTAAGTACCCGGCGTTGCCCGGGCGAAAAAGACACACAGACACATCGACTTACACACACAGACATCGACCCACACACGCACACATTGACTCGCACAAATATCGACGCACACACACATAGACTCACACACACATGGAACTACACACACACACAAACATGGACTTACACATCGACTAATCACACATGGACTTACACACGCACATATTGACGTACAGACACACAGCGACTCACACACACACATCGACTTAAACACACACACACATGGACTTAAACACACACATACATAGTCAGACGCACATGGATCTGCACACACACACACATATGGACTTACACAAATACACATCGACTAACACACACATGGACTCACACACAAACACATCGACTTATACACACATGTCGACTTACAAATGCACATGGACTCACGCAGACACATTTGACGTACACACACACACATCGATTGACACACATGGACCCACACACATCGTTTAACACACACATTGACTTAAACACACATAAAAAGACTCACACGCACATGGAACTACGCACACACATGGACTTCCACACACACATCGACTAAGACACACAAATGGACCTACACACACACATCGACTTAAACACACACCGCATACACACACATGGACATACACAAACAAACACAGCGACTGTCACTCACACACTGACGCACACACACACGGACTCGCACAGACACAACGCACACACATATATGGACTCACACGCACACATGGACATACACACACACACTCTTAACTTTTATATAGTCTAAATAAGTTTGCAAATTATAGTTTTCTATGTACATGATTTTAGCGAAAGACGCAAGGGAGAGGGGAAATACACGCGTGTATAATAAGTAAGTATTTAGGAGCCACTGCGAGGGTGTTCCACCATTTTGGTACAAACATTTGCCTCGAGCAAGAGCGGCAAATGAATGAAAGTCAACGAATACAACATGACCATAACCTACCTGTAACTATGAGCAGATGCGCACCAATCAAGCGTAATTGACATAACGTCACCGCTCAACCTCCGTACTGAGGGGGCAAGTGTAAATATGATAGAATGAAGATGTAATTGAGTATATTTATTGGTTTGCCCCTGTGCAGTAAGTGATATTGCGTGGCTGCTTATGCCTCACGAGTATCGAAAAAGGCTATTCTTCATAAACATTGGTTCATTCCTGTAATTAAATCTTAACCTATAAAAGGCAATTTGTAATGAATAAACAGTCATGGTAATAAATGCTTGAAGGGAGCTGTAAATCTGTGTGTGTGTTACGATGCGCAGTGTCCACACGAACGAGAATTCCCCTCTCACCCCCACCGAACGCGTTTGAGTTGGTTGGGTCGAGCACGCGCTATGTAAGAAATTAATAACCGAAAACAGCACTAAATCGTTAATTAAACTACTTTAAAGGTGACGGACGTGAATAGCGCTGGCTCAGCACGGGGCTTATGGCGTTGCTACCTGGCTACTTTTTATAAACTTTAACCCCACGGTTTGCGGG